TTTGTTTTGTGTTATGTTATATTATTATTATTAATTTTTTTTTTGTCGGAACCGAGGATTGAACTCAGGTCATTGTGCTTGCCAGGGAAGTGCTTATACAGTCTTCCTGGCCCCTTAACCAACATTTTAATATAAGAATTTCCCAAGCTGTTGTTAAAAGCTTCCTGTAACTTAATGACTATATTTCATTGGGTAGCCAGTGCTTGCCAGGGAAGTGCTTATTCCACTGAGCCTTCTCCCCAGTTATTCATATTGGAATAACGCTTATAAACAGTCTCTAAACCATGATTGTTTGAATTCATATCCCAGATCCATCAGTGACTGGAGTAATTAACTGCTTCCTGCCTTGGTGGTTTCACATAGTTAATAAGGCACTTTATACTACTTCTAGGCTTGTTGGGAGGACCAAATGTATCAGTACACTTAAAATGCTTAGAAGAGAATTATTGTTGGCTAATACTTGTTGTATAAGCATTGAATATTACTATTATTTTAGTCTATAATTTACTTAATCATTTAATTTACTCCTATATTTGGACTTTAGTTTTTTTCTAATCTTAATTATTATAAGCACTGTGTGTGTGCAGTGTTTCCTGTATTTTTGATCTGGGCATAAGAGTAAAAATTTGGGGTTGATGGTTGTGAAATATATTAGCTACTTATCCAAGACTATGCTAATCACATTGTGTGTAATGCTTTGTAGGTCCTGGCACACCCATGAGATAGGTGGTATTTTAAGATGTCTAGATGCAGAAAGATTAAGTAACTTGAAGTTCCATAGTAGGAAATGGCAGAGCCTGGTCTGTTAACCAACAAATTTTACCTGCTCTTTACTATTTCTTCATATTTGAAGGAAGTTGGTGGTGGTAGCTTGTGATTAATTATGAGAACATTTGCATGGAATTACTATACCTGGTAATTAGTTGGCTGACTGATGTAGGAACAAGATAAAAGATATATTCAGTGTGTTTGAACAAGTTATTAAATAGAGTGGGGCTAAGGATGTAGTTTAGTAGTAGAGCATTTGCATAGCATGTGCTAGGACCTGTGTTCAATCCCCAGAACTACATACAAATAAACAAAAACAGAAAAATGAAAAGAACACAACTTTTTCAATAGCTACAGCAAAAATCCTTGATGTAGTTCTTGTCCATCTTGGTTATAGGGTCAACCTCCGTCAAGTCATGTGAATTGAAAATAGTGATGTGGGAAGTATTTCCTCCAACAAAGTTGAGGATTTCTTGGGAATGAACCTATTGTGCCCCTCTGGCAAGATGTTCTGTTGCTGGACTAGCTGGGTGGTTCTGTCCCCTACTCTCTCTGCAGGGACAGCAGCTGCAGAGTTTCACCCCAGGCCTGTATGCCAGGCCTGAGCTGGGTCTGAAGGGGACAAAGAGGCGTAGAGGAGAGGGGAAGCTCTCCTACACACTTGCCAGGCCTGGGCTTGGGCTGGATCTGGGGGTCCTGAGAACGTGGCAGAAGTTCTGACTCACTTGGCCGGTGGGCAGGGTGCGCTCCAGAGTGTTGGGGGTTCCCGAGGGCGCGGCCGAGGGTCTCCCTCATGCAGCATGCCTGGGTTTGGACCAGAGAGGTCCCGCTGGCCAAGTTGAGGATTTCTGTTAGCAGAATAGTAGTTACTGAGTAGATAAAAATAGAATCTATCCGCATTACCACGGAATGGATTAAGGTTTTGTTGATTTTTATTATTGGTATTTGTATTTAATGATATAGTTTAACTGGCTGTTTATTCTTTTATTTTAAAAAGCAAATATAGAGCTGGTGAGATAGCTCAGCAAACTAAGCACCTGCCTAGGCAAGCATAGGGAGTAGGGTTTGATCACCAGTACCACATTCTGGGCCTGCCCTGCTGCCGCGCCCATTGAACCCGCCCTAAGAGTCTGTGTATGGTAGTGCACACCTGTAATCCCAGCACTGTGGAAGCTGAAAACTGGAGGATCACTACAAGTCTGAGCTGTGTAGTGAGACCTTGTACCAAATACATTTAAAAATAAATAAGGGCTGGGGATATAGCTCAGTGGCTTAAATGCCTGCCTGGCAA